GAGATTATGTCGATGAGTCATGACCCACCCATTCAGCAAATAAAGTGAAGGTTAAAGCTTACATGTATAGAATAAAGTTAACTGGAAAACTGCAATTACTTTGCTCTCTATAAAACAAGTCTTGGATCCAAAATCCGGGATTATTTAGAGCTAATATGCTCCAAAATTTCTCCCCTACCCCCATCCATGCCAAATATAAAAGGGCTAAAATCAGCTATTGAACCCCTCCAACCTTTTGCACCTATATGTGTTCAGTACTCAGTGGCAAACAGCTTTCTGACCCTACAATTACTATTCTGATTTTAGCCATTTTTACCTTGCATTTAGCAAATGATGTTAGAGAAATATCTTCTGCAAAATAGCTAACTTTTTAGGACATGGCTGCAGGCAACGACTTGAATCTGGAAATATCTTTTAAACAGATATCATGTTTTTAAGAGTTTGTGTGTGTGTGTGTGTGTGTTTTCTTTTTTTTTGGTGAATATTTTGTTGAAAATCCCCCCCCTTTTTTTTTGTTTTTATTTTTATTTATTTTTCCCAAACATCTTAGTAAGCCAACAATTGCAACTGACATAATATTTTATCAGAGTCATTCCTCACTAGCTCTGGGTGCATATATTGGAATCAAGGCCTGACTATAGACAGTAACTCAAGCATTGATCCTGGCACGTGGGTAGATCTACAGCAAGGTTTTTGCAAACTTCACCAAACACATCAACTGTATCCAAAGTGGTGCTGTATCATTCGTATCAAAGAGCCATGTCCAGTCGTTCTTAGCACTTGATAAGTTGACTTGTTCTGGGATATTTTCACTTTGTTTACAGAAAAATGTGACTGCTCTTTTGAGCACAGAGAAGAAATTGAGGCAAGAGGAAAGAAGAAAGTAAGAATGCACAAAAATTTAGGCCGTGCCTAAACTTTTTAGACTTTAAAGCTTTCTAAACTTTTTAGGCTGTGCCTAAAGCTGGTGGATTATTTCTTCATTGTGAGCAGCAGTTATATCGACCTCAGATGAACTAGTTGCTCAAGTTGAAAGTGTTTCCACCCCATAGGAATAAAGTTACATTGCAATAAGTAATGAATGCATTGCTTTTAGGCACAAAGCCAAGCTAGATTTAATCTAACTCCACTGGCCAATAAATGAAGAGATGGTGCCATGTATTTCAACACTGAAACCCTTGGCAAACCTGCCAGAGAGTGTGAGCTCTTACTTGAAGAGCCATACCCAGTATTGACACATCTTTGCTGCACCTGAACACAAACTAGCAAGATTAACACTAGATTTGGTATATTTACACACATTTCAGCCAGTCTTCAGTGATGGAGAACAGACATTGCTCCAAGTGCAGGGGTTTGGTGTGTAAGCAGGGGTTTGGTGTATGAGCAGTTGCTGGCTGGACAGATCTGTCTGAGGGCTTGGCTGCTGCACAGTGCAGCAGCCAAGCATGGCCTCAGACTGGAAGAGCAGTAAACCACAGGCAGATGAATCCTTTTCTTCCATGCCTATTATGCAACTCAGGAGAAATGGTCAATATCTAGCTCTCTACCAACAGCATTTGCAAACAAGACAGATATTTCCACTAATAAAAAGCAAAAATAAGCAGAAAAAAAAAATTGACTTCCCTTATCCAACCCCTTCATCTGTGCATGAAACACAAGATCAGATTAATCCCTAGTTGATCACAGCTCACTGAACCACTTCACATATGTCAATCAAGGTTATGTACGCTACAAAGTGCAGGCTGACGTGAGGAATTTTACACACTCAACTCAATGCATTTGAAAAGCATCATTGATCTGGGTGATGCTAGCATCAGTCTTTGCCCTACCAAGTTTTAAAAGTGCAGAAAGAAAAAGGAGGGTGGGAAAAGAGGCCATGGCAGGGCAGATTTCAGCTTCTGCTACTGCAATGAAGCCAAAGAGGCAAAAGAGTGATAATGGAACACACCAAATAAGTCTTTCTGCTAATCACTCTTCACTCATTCAGTATGACTAGGAGACCAGGTGGTCATCACTGAACCAAAACCTGTTTTATCTGTGTACTAACATTGTAGCAAAATGGACATAAATGTTCTCATGTTCTAATGCTATGCTGATTTAGGTTATGCTGTTCTGTAGACAAGAGCTTTTTATCTGATGAGGCCTATGAGAATATTATTCTTCGAATTAAATTACATGCACAGCTATCAATGGGAACATAGATGAAACATGGGAAAGTTTCTTGTACTGTAGGTAAATGTGTAGAACTGAGATGTCCAGCAACTTAATAGCCATGATCTACCACAAAGAAGAAAAATACATGATTACATATGCATAAATTCTTCCTGTAAGTGTTTGACATTTGAAGCTCTGAAAAAATTCCTAATGAATCTGGAGATCAGTGATCAAAGAACAGAAGGTCCTGACTTTGATTATTTTATGTTTCCCTTCAGTTAAGTTGGGGCTGTAACACAACTGTTGCATTCTCAGGAGTTCTGTTCACAGTGAAACTTTGCTCATGATGGGCTAATGCTATTCATGATGACATCCCACTGTCTCTCTGCTCACTGGCTTTGAAATAAATGCATCAAGAAACAAAATCTATAATAAAGTTTTTATGTCAATTACATATATCTACTTATTATATTATCTATTTTGTACAAAACTTGCTACATGGCATTTTAATGTGGACCGTGGTTAAACTACATTCATTTCCATAATGTTTTCTGTAAAGAAACTCTAATCTCATTATATGTTCATAATTTCTGTCTCCATAAAGTGTAAAGGTCCATTATTCATACCCACACAATGTTGCCTTTCCCTCTTTAATAATGTCTTTGATTTTGAAAAGTCAAAGGCAGGATGTGCTGTTGCACACTAGTATTTAAGCCTTCTTAATAGCCGATCTTGCACATAGGCACTACTAATATTCCTTTTTTTCCTGGACCATCCCTTTCATGCTCCATATTTGTCTAATTGTCATGGCATCGAAAACACATGCATGTTAAGGGCCTCTTGATGTCATGTTACTCTCACTGCATTTTTTTTATTATTATTTTTGTGATCCTGTGACTAAAACTGAAGTAAATCTGGACCCCATGCTACACAGTCTTTGTCCACTTTGCTGAACATCTGAAAATCTGAATCTGAAAAGAAACTCTGCCAGGAGGTAGTCAAACTAAGTTTCAGCAGCTCAGATAACAAAGAGTACTAGAAAAGGCCTTTCACAGATTCAATATTTATTGGATTTAGACTCATTTCAATTTCCAGTTTCATCCACTTACAGGTTCTCTGATTACCCCTGTCTTTGTAGTCTGGCAGTCTGAAGTTTGTTCTTCTGTACTAGGTAGTCCAATAAACAAAGACTTTCTCATCATATTAAACATGAGAGTTGCTGGAGGTTTTTCAGAACTATGACACTTAAGAAAAGACTGGTTTGCACTCTGCTGAGGTTAATAACTTTGCAGAACTCATAAAAGCATTCACAATTGTTCTTGACTGAATCATCATAACAGCAAGCAGGTGCTTATATATAATCATACCTTTTGGGAATTGTCTCAGATCATTTGTCTGCCTCAAAGGATGTTCCTCACAGCTATTCATCTGAAAGACATAAAATGGCTCAAATTGGCCACTTGGCTTTCATTTCTACCAGAAACAGTGTACGATTCAGGATTACTTTGTTGTTTACACATCTTAAACAAGAGGCACAAAAATGACATTTTTATATGTCAGAAGTAGTTTCTTTTGTGTTAATGAGTAAAAAGTCCTTCTATATTTTCACCCTTTTTTACAAAGTCTATTATGTCAATTTGATTTGTTTCATGAGATATGTTGGACTGAAAGGGTATAAATGTGCTTTCTGGGCATAAATGCTTTGCAACAGATTTCAGACCTTTTAACGTATAGTGCATCACTAGTAAACAGAACCACACAACAAAGAAGCCAATGGGCCTTTAACAAATGCAATAATATCTTTAAAAAGACAGAAAATGTTAACTTCGCTTGTCAAATGACAAGTGAGGAACAATTAAATATTTATCTTTCAACTGTCCAGACAATCGCACTTTCTTATACTGCTTCAGGATTTATATCCAAATGATTTAGATTCTTAAAACCAGTATTTCAATCAAGTATTTTAATCAAATTTTAATTATTATAATTTATTTATTTTTATTCAAAGAGCACCAGGTGAACAAGTTCTGAACATTATTAGAGTATTTAATGTAAAACTTCCCTCAAAATTCCAAGACAATTTATTTATATTTTTTTTCCACAACATAATTACTGTTATTTTCCCCTGCTCAATCAAAGATATACAGTGTGGTCAGATGTATAATGTAACAGCTGGAGTGTAAGAGCTCTACTACTGTTTTACAGTTTGTTTTGCATATACCGTCACACCACACCATGGTAGACCTAGTCTCTACATTCATCTGAGCAGCCTATCTGACAGCATCTCATCTTTCAGATATTGAAACAATAAAAACCAAAATAATGTATGCTGTCCTGATGTCAGTGGATCATTTTTATTGTCCTTTTTTTTTTTTTTTTTTTTTTAAACATTTGCTCCTTTGCCTTAAAATCTTAATACCATTACCCTGCATCAAAGAATCAAACAGCTGAAAGACAAGCTTCTGGGTCTTGTTTCCATCTACAAAAAAATGCTGAGCAGTAATCAAGAAAATACCTTGGTTTCTTTATGATTTCTCTTTTTGCTTTGCGATCACAGCTTCATTTCAAAGTGCATTTATATATCTGAAATCTCAGGGAAATGTCTAGGAGGGCCCTTTGATGTCAATCAATTGCATGTGAGCCTTAACAAGTACTGTGCTCCGTGATTTTGTCATGTTGTACAGTGAGTAAACCATTGATTTAAAAACTGAAGCAAGATTTAGATGATTAAGTATGGAAATTATTCTAAACTGTTTATAATGAAATGTAGATTTATTTTTTTATTATTATTATATTAAATCTGTAACACCAGTCTGGTAATTTAATGATTTTTTTTTCCCTTTTGCAGATGTGTGCAGTTGAAGGCTGATTTCACACTTTGAAAGCAGAAAGCTTTTGTTATAACAACTTCTCTCTGTGGAAGTAATTGACTTTAGAAGGTGAGATATTCTTGTGTCTCTCCACAGATTAATTCTTTTGGATCTTATCTGCAGTGGAAAAAAAATGGAACCTGTGTCTTCTTAGCTGCAATTTAAGCATGCTCAAACATTATTACCACTCTCTTTTCTAACCCTTTAAGGACAGGCAGTAATAAGGAGGTAGTAACCCTGTTTGTTTTAGGTTTCATTCACAACTGGTATTTCTTCTAAGTGGAGCATATAAATTAGAACTGACTTTTTCATTGGTTAAAAAGCTTTCAATACATGAGCTAACAAGTTGGAGAAAGATAAATGCTGATTTTCAATTATTTTTTTCCTACTGTGATAACTAAGACACCAAAAATCATTCAGTCTTGTATATGCTTTTTCTTCTATGCATTATTATGTTCATTTTGATGATCCAATTTTTGATGATTTTTGAAAAGAAAATTTAACCTGTTACTATTTGTGTAATTCACCATGGATTCTGACATATTTATGATGCTGCTGGGTCCTTACCTGTAGGGACAGGCTTCCTTCTGCCTCATCCAGACCCATGCCTCTGGCTGGCAGTGCAGTCAGTCTGCAGTCATCCAGAAGGAGGTGTTCTGCGAAACCCAGAGAAAGTCAATAAACAACCAGAATTAAACCTGTGTGCTGGAGAAACAGATTGCTCAGGGTAGCACTGCAGCAGTGGTGTCTGATCACAGCAACCCAATTCTTCTTTGTAATGGATGGCTAGAGGGGAAGTAAAATGGATGCAGAGCAACGTGGAAAAAGAGCAAAAAGTTCTCTAGAGACCTGGATGTCAAATGAATGTATAAGGGAACATTTACAGTACATCTTGTTTAACTGGAATTAAACTTATCTTTAAAACAATTCCCAGCCTGCAGAGTGTGAGAATGACTGATTCTCTTTATTAAGTATAATCTTGTAAGATATCTACTTAAAGCAGATAATAATTAATTGCAGAAGTATACTATAATTAGCTTTTAATGAAAAGTACTTATAAAGATAAATATTTGTATACTCGTTGTATTGATTAGAAGTTTAAAGAACAGAAAGCTCAGGCAAATATCTGCAAGACCAGTCAATGATCCTTTAATTTTAATTTTGGAGAGATTCATACCACTTATTTCTAAAAATTGAGCTAAACTGCTCCAGTTATGAATCTAGTTAAATAGGTCCACTCTATGCTTGTAAGTATCTCCAGAACTAGGCCTTGCCTGAGCTAAGCTTTCTCTGGAGCTTTCCTCTAGAGATTAAAGCACCAGACATAGTAAGATTCAACATAGAAGACATCCAGTTATGGCAACTGGACTTGGTAGAGCATTTACTAGAAATCAGTGTCTAGGCTATTAGAAATCTGTCCTTTACAGCTAAAGTTCAGGAAGGGACTGTATGAATGGATTGTGAAAGGTTTAGGAATCATGCTGATGAAGCAGGTCCATGTAGGCAACTTTTGCAAAGCCATGGCATAAAGCTTAGTGCTCTTTAAATGTGCAAACAAGGAAGCATGGAAGAGCTGTAGAGAGGTTTTGCTACTTCACCTGGCAGTAATCATGCCAAATTAAACTTCTGAGTCTGGTTCTGGAGCTCGTAGTTTAAAGAAGTTTAAAAATTGGCTGCATCTCACCTGTGGCCTGAAAGAAGACCTCTTACAATGGAAAACATAGAGATTTAAATCTAATTAACTTATCCAGAGGAGACCAAGATAAGCTTTGATTTTATGGTATACATACCATTATGCAGAGAAGACAGTCAGTACTAAGTTTTCTAATCTATTGAAGAAAGGCAGTGTAGAAGCAGCTAGAAGTTAACTCTGGAAAGATTCTAGTAGAAAGAAATTACACTGGTGCTCAGAACACATTGGAATGAACTGCTGAAGGAAGTGCTGAATTTTTCATTTTTGAAGCTTTCATATCACAACTGAATGCCTGTCTGGAATTGCCCGAGTTGAAATCACATCCTTGTGCTCAATAAAAGCATACCTAGATGTAATGCTTGATTGAGGATCTCATACTAAATAACCTAGTGGTCCTTGTTGACTTTAAAATATAGCAATCTATTTCTTCTACAGGCTGAGGGGAGAAAAAAAAAAGGAGAGATAAAAATTATTTCCATATTTTCATTTTTGGAAGGTGCTCAGAAAAATATGATGCTGAAGTACATATATAGATAAATTGACAGATGAGAAATGATGACTTCTTACCTTGAAAAGAAAATTCTCATACTTGCAATATAATAAAAGAAACATCAAAATAAAACCAATTAATTTTTCCTTTAATTATCACAGTTTCTACAGCTGTTGAGCAAATTATAGCTTCTTTAATATGCCAATTTTGAAAGTACTTCACATTATAACCAGCAGATAACAAGGGAATAAGAGTAATTGGAATTAAATTTATACAGTGGAGAATTCTCAGTTTTAATGTTGTCTAAATGGGTTTTAACATATTGAAACTGCCAGAAACTCACATGTGAATAAAAGCTGTTATAGAAAAAGAAGAGGAAGGAAAAGAAGGATTAAAGTAAATACAGCTCCAGAAAACTTTTGGAGTAAAATGGGTCTGTGCAACCCACAGACCCCATGGAATTTCACTATCACTGATGAGCATTCGGATAAACTTAGTTAAGTGTCTGCACCAATAAGGAATAGATAAATCTCACAAAATATGACTCTCCCAGGTGACAGGTTATTTTTCTGCATGACATTAATCCTTTATTTCTCATGAGATGGGAAACCTCAAATGAAACTCAGAGGAGAGGGAGGAACTGCAGTTCTCTCAGAGATCAATGTTGTATTTTGATGCTGGTATTTGTTTGGCAGGTGACAGTCATTCTTAGAGCCTCCCACTGTGCCAAGCTCTTGCAAGTAAGCATGAAAATAGACCATATACAGTTGATCTTGCAGCCAGAATAACCCATATAGGAGGTAGGCCGTGAAAGAAGAAACAACTGAGAAGACTTGTTCAAATACCCATGCGTGTGATTGAAACCAGGCCCTGGGACTGTCACAATAGTTTGCTGTCCGCAGTGATGAGAACCAGGGCATGAATTACCACTGAAGCTTATGGTGAATTCCAATAACATAGTCTCTGCTAGACCTACAGCATCTTCATGCTGAGATATGGGTTTTCCTGAGCCAGTCATCAACCCACCATCACCCATTTGTGCAACATGATGCCTGCATTCCTGGGACAAGCAGTCCCATGCTCTGGTCCTTCCCAATTTCTCTCACCCTGAAAGGCATTTTATCTTGGGGGCACACAGACAAATATTCAGTTGATACTAAATTGTGGTATTACCTGAGGCAGCAAAGGAACCTCCATTTCACAAGCTTTTGTTTGCATCCTGGCTCTTGTAAGAATGCACTGAGATTACATGTAACTCTGTTGCCAGATCATAGCCATGATTTTCCAGACCCTAAGACCCTTCACATCCTGCTCCTTATGAGGAGGGAAATAGAGTTCTGCTGATGTCAGTGTTGTTATAAACACAAAAACCCCAAAAGAACAATGTTCCCTGTACAGATAGTAATCCATATGCAGGAAGAATATAGATGATTAATACTTAGCTGAAGTATTCATAAGAAATTAATAATGGCTATATAAATCTGTTCTGCTGGTTTCTAAGTCTGTTTCATTTCTAATTTACAGTCAATAAGATTACTGAATGCCACAGAAGTGCTCCACTCCACAAGTGCTACACAATTTCTAGGTAGCTTTTGGATGTGATGGTAAAGACGATAATACCTCCTGGAAGGCACAGAATACAACATTCTCTAGAGAGTAGTGAAAAGATAATTTTATGACATTATATTCTGACACTGTGTGAATCAATTTTAATGAAAGATATACTTGCTTTCTTTTGCAATGATGAATCTGGAAATATTTAACCCCCCAGGCTTGAAGGAAAAAAGTCCTACTTTAATGGAGTAAAAATGTGCTACATCTTTGTATTGAACATGAGGTAAAAATACTTTTGTTCCCATATTATTTTCACAGCAACTGAATAAAAGCAAGAATATGTACTTCATCTTTCTATCAGTAGCTGGAATCTGCCTGTTAATTCCACCTTGCTCAGATTTTTAAAGATGGAAAAGAAGCTATCCAGACTTTGAAAGCACTAGATAAATATTTGTCAGAATTACGAGTTAATTAAAATCATCTTACAGTCATATGCTCTAAAGAATCAAAGTACTTTTACACATGTATGTGCACAGAACATTCAGGAGTTTGTGAAATCTACTTTTGAAAATGCAGCTGTTTCTAGGGTGAAATGTAGAAACTAATTAATTGTAAAAGTACACAATAGCTTAAAACAGCAGGTGGATAAAACTTTTTCCTGTCACAGCTGTGGCATAATATAATCAGACAAAATGCAATTATCCAGTTGGAATTTGAGAAAGATCTTATAATTAACATAACTATTTTTCTAAAGATAATCTTTGGATGTACATGCTACAAAGAAAACTAGAAATACTTCAAAGAGGCTTGATGCATCAGGGCTTTGGTTTTGTTTTCACTGAAACAAACCAAAATCAAGGTATCCTCTTCTCACTAAGAAGAAATATTGGTTGATCTACAACTTAAATATTCACTCCTAACTTCTTTATTTCTAAATTTGTCTTGCTAATATCTTCCTTTGGGTTCTGTAATCACATTCTGATGGATATTTATGCATTTCCCTTAAGCAAAAAACAAGCAATATGACATCCTATCTATTCTTTCTGGTGGTAATTCTACCTGTTGCCTTCACTTCCCATGGGGGACTATTTCCAAGTTTTGTATGCTCTTGAGAGAGAAAATAAACTAAGCAGTTTGTGTCTATTCTTGTAATATGGTTTGTGTTCATTTGGGGGATTCATTATTCCTTTTGTTTTGTTTTATTTAGTTTTATTTTATTAGTATAATGAAAACTGTCTATTCTTCAATTACTTCCACTTCTGTTTGAAAATTTTGACCTAACTTGTAAAGAAAGTTTTTTTTTTGTTTTCTTGTTTTTCACCTCTGGTTGCCTGTTTCTTGCCCTGGTTGTTCATTCTATTCAAATGATGAATACAATTTGTATTATCATCATTATTTTTGTGATTATTTTCTGAAATGAACAACAAACAAGTTGCGCCAAAAACTTAACATATATTAGCAAAACCTAACCAAACCAAGAAAAACAAACAGACAAACAAACAAAAACACTTTAAACAAGCAAACAAATAACAACAAAACAAACAAACAAACAAACAAAACCCACAAAACAAAACAAAACAAAAAAACCTGCATTTAGAAACAGATTACTTGGATAGAAAGATAAATTTTGCCATGTTAACAACATGATAGGTACCTTCCTTAGGTTCAGGTGTATGGTTTCTCTCTACTCAAATATCAAAGAATGATCTGCAAGATTTTTTTTGGTAATGGAAATCTGCTGTTGTTTCAAATCCACTCTACAGTTACGGTTCTGTAAGTCCCTGATTTCACTGGAAGCATCATATATGAATTAATGAAAAAATATTTATTAAGTTTTTGCAGTCCTTAATTTTAATTGCTGCAATTAATGAATGGAACTGCAAGTAGAGTTCAACTAAGGGTTTTTCTAAACCATTAACGGAGACTCATTAATAATGCTCCTGACAGTCTACTGGGAGTTATCTAACAACCATGAGACATTATGTATAGGACCTCAGCTTGAACTTTCGTGACTCTTCCTCAAATAAATTAATGATGTTCCACAAACTCTTAGAACCACATCTCCAGTTGTTCCAGAGCTTTGAAAGAAAGACAGTTTTAAAACTACCTTTGCATCCTACCAAATCAAAATTTAATTTTATAACTCTAAATACATCATGAAAAAGATCTTCTAGGAGAGAAAATTCACTTTGCTTTTCATTCTGTAATATAAAATTCCTCTTGGAGGACAATGACTGATTTGACACTAAATCTTAGCTTCTAGAACAGATCTGCTAGACTCTTTTAGGTTGCTGCAGCCTTAGAGATATTTCACAGCAATAGGATAAATTATGCTTCATCCTTTCAGCTAAAAATATTCCTTTAACTTTGACTTCTTTAAGAGCTATTGCAACATGAAATTGTATTTATTCTTAAAATATATGTCTTGTCCACAATACAGTTACAATAGCATCTTCAAAATAGCCCCTGCACCTACTGTCCCTTCATCTATCTACATGTAGCTTTATATTTTACTTGTTGTAAGCTTTCAGTGTAGCATCAATACAGGAACTGGAAGAAAAAGTCACAAAATAACACCAATATTTCAATATAGCTCTTGATTTAAGAATTTTATTCAAATCTGAAATTCCCTAGTTTATTTTTTTTTCATAGCTATATCCCAAAATAATTTATTTCAATGTCACCAAAATAAATTGTTTAGAAGTTAGTTTTATCTTCCATAGTTGAAAATGATAATGATAAAATAATCTATTTCAAAAAAATTCCAAAATGATCCATACATTCCCATCTAAAGTTTTCCTATTTGATTTCAAAATTTGCTATTTATTCAATTGATATGTTTAATGGAATGTCTGGAAGATTTATTGTTTTAAACAAGTTGAGGCTAAAGAAAGCTGTGCTCAAATGCAGTGAGGCTTATATTGTGGGATATGACCTGATCTTAGCTTTGGTGACTTTGCACAATGGACATGTGCCCAGGGTGGACACATTACCCAGGGTGGCTTTGGTGTTGGCTTTTATTGAGTGATCTCTCTGAATAACTGAACTCAGTATTATATAGATGCCTCATCCATCCATAACAGATAGATCTATTCAGAGTGTGTCCTGACTCTGTCAAATGCTGACACTGAGCTGATATGACAGATGAAGAACTTCACTCTGACTTGTGTGTTATTCTGCACTGAACTATGCCACATTTTAAGTCATAGCAGGTGAAGAATGCAGAGATTTCCCAGATGTGGTAGTGAGGAGATAGAACAGTTGTGACACCTCTGTTGCCTGCAATGCACATAAACATGCACTAGCAACGTGCTAACAATTCTCACATGGATTAAGCAACCAAACTAACAAACAGACAAAAACGAAAAAACGTAACTTCATAGTAATAGAGCAGAATAAAGGGTAATATGGTCTAAGAATGATTAAACGAACAGACACTAGGGTTTTATGATCTAAGCCACTTGAGTTAGCAGAGCATATTTCCAGTGAATCTATGATACACTGATAATTTGCTGAAAGTTAATTTTCCTCTCTGCCTGTTTCCCTCTCTTTGTGTTTTGTTTTTGTTTATTTGTTTGGGGTGTGTGTGTGTAGTAGTAGTAGTAGTCATGGGTTAATGGACTACAATGAGGATCAGGAGATCAAAACTTAAGATCTTGGTCTATGATTTCCCCCATGACTTGAAAAAGTCCTTTCATCTTTTGGACATCCCTACATGAAGACAGTAGTTTGGAAATACCAGTGAGTTTGGTGAGATACTGGAAACAACCTAGCTGCAGAAGTACTTGGTTAAACAACTTTGGTATCTTTGCAATGAACATTTATCTGCAGGAGCTCCTATCATCAACATTCATCAGCATTTTCAAAGTTGTGAGTCAAGAAGCTTCTGGGGAATTGTGAGTATACTAATCACAATTCACTAATCTATTCACAATCATAAATGGGAGTGACCTCGGAATAAACAATTGATTTTATTTCAAGCACTATGACAAAAAGTCTTTCATGGTCTGGGACCATGCAGGAAAAGAACTAGTTAGATCAGTTAATCTGTTATTCTGTGTACAGGATCAACATTTTCTAACAAGAAGGAAGCTACAAAATCTCTGGTGCTCAAAGAGAACAAAGGACATTGAGCTTCTCAGTAGCTACCATATGTATGTATTTATTGGTTTTTTTTTTGCTCTGATTGGGCTAAGATTTTCCTTTCAGGGTACTTATGAATATGTAAATTTTGGTGCCTAATTTTAGATACTTCTTTAAATGTACAGGCTAAGGTTATTGATACTGCTCCCATACTAAGGCAGCCCGCTGATTGTAGGTAGTAATACACGACTGAAACTCCTTGCTTAGTGTTCAGGAACGGTGAAAGGTGAGCTGAGGGCACACAAGAATAGTATCTCCTCAGTGATATTAATTCCATTGCAGCAGCTAAAAGTTTACATGGGGCTGAAGTTCCCAGGGATCAGTCATGCTGACTATCTTTTAATACCAGAGCTAGGTACACTTGCAGCTTTGTAAACAAGTAAAACTGGTATGAAGAGCAGATACAGAGTACAGTCTATCACGTAATGCCCAGCAGGCACTAAATACTCCAGGGGACAAGCTGAAAATCAATTATCTTGAAATAGCATAGCAGAAACCTTCTCTGTTCTCACATACCAGCATCAAATCCATTTAAATAACAACATCTTAGAGCACAAAAGCAAAGTAAAGCCTCATGAAAGTATGTTTCAGTGAGGACTGCATCACCCCAATCCTTTAGCTTTACCTCTTCAAGCAACTCTTTCTCCCTGATGTAAAGATGAAGAATTAATCATCCTGTTACATAAAATGCATACTCCATGGGGAAGATACATAAAGCACGCATGAGATGGATGGATTTTTGTAGAGTAAGGTCACCCTCAGGGGGTGAAAACATAGGGAAAAAAGTGCTCTCTGAGTGATTACCGTTTCTGGAACCACTGGAGACTTGCAGGTTGATGCCATCTAAAAGAGCCTATGATTTTCAATTAACTCTTTGTTCATGCAGATTGGTAATTACCTCAGTATATGTTGGGGTGCTGTTTTGCACTAACTTTGGCAGTGAGCTGAAGAATTGGAAATGGTCTCATTTGCCCGGTGGTTGATGACTGTTACAGATGGGAAGCTCAGGCAGGGCTTTCCTCAGCTGCTAGTCAAAAGCTGGCCAATTCTCAAAGGTTGGGGAAGACTAGAAAGTTTCTTTAAGGAGAAATGGGTAGGAGAGCAAGCCCCATTGTTCATGATCTTTGTGTCTGTTTCCAGCTGGGTCTGAAAATGACTAACAGTGTTCTGCTGACTGGGTGGTGTTGGTAGACTGGAATCAGCCCAGTATAGCAGTGAGCACTGGCATTTAGAGGCATAGGCAGGGGCTTTGTAAATTTGGTACCTGCCAAGCTGACAGATATATTCTAGGAAATTAAGAACAGGATGTTAAGAGGAAACAAAATGAAAGAGAAGAGGATTTTTGAAGTAAGAAAGAGGAAAGAGATGGAAAAAAAATAAGTTTTAATGTGTATCAAGCTAAAAAGGCTTCACTGTTTTAATTACTGCAAACTATATTTCTGAGAGCCTTTGGTAGCTTGTTAGAAACATACTGTAGCTTTAATTAAGCAATTAGAGAGCTTGATGAGGAAGGCAAGGATTTTAGAATTTAAAGTATTCTGGAGAGAGTATAGGCAGGGGAATCTTTTTTCAGGTGTCTCTGTATTATATAATGATTAACCTTGAATGAAATGTTATGGGAAGGACTGAGAGCTTTTATTCATGTGTCACAAGCATAAAACCTGACCCAAAAGTTCTTTGAAAAAACTCTCTAAGAGGACTTTGTCAATGTGTAAGCCTGTAGGACTTAGTTTAAAGTGTGCATTCAGGGATCAGGTGAAGATTAGCAGAACAACATTTATTTCCTGTAAGGACAGACTTAATGAGAAACAAGTAGAGCTTCTATGTTACAATATGTTGATATAATTCAGTTGCTGACAATTTTTGTATTGCATTACACTTCAGATTGCCCATGGAAAAATGAAAATGTAGTATGAAAAAGCGAAGACTACAGCTATACTGATAGCTCTGTTAATTCTCCTATCATTTCCTGTGTAAAATTATGGCTTTCTGTATGTGAA